TGAGAACCCCAAAGAGAACAATGAGACCCACAGCACGACAAGGGATTTCTAAACTCCAAGAAAGCTAAATCAGGTTTATAATGGGACCTTGACCTGTTGTTTATGTCACAACAAGAACCAAAGGTAAAAACCTTGACCCGTTGTCTATGACGCAACAAGAACCAGAGGTATAAAGTTGGTTGACGCCACACCCTCGAACGATTAAGAACGAGAATGATAAGTCAGGTTAGAACGCCACAAGAATAATTCTTGATAAGTTCTGTCAAGTTCTGAAACGAACCAAAGAGAAAAGTCTCTCAAAATCTCAGATTCAATTCCCTTCCCCAATTAGGGTTACAAGCCCCTTAAATAGGGAAAAGTAATTCTAATCAGAATAGAATAATATAAAAAAATGCTAAAATCACTAAAAGTAACCTAAAGTAACATGAAATATCAGTTTGTTACAAATTGTGACAGAATTGCGAGATTGACGCAAACTGTGTAATCTAGCATAAATGCCCTCAATTAAGCTTCTCTTGAACCTGAATAATGTTTATCATGTCTTGATAATCATCCAAGTTTTGATTTACTTGTGCATGTTGTTATCAACCCAGATCTGCTCAATAAGGCCATTGCTTCTCGCATCTTCTTAGCTCTAGCTCTCGTGGCTGGACCTCCTGGAATATGTAATGGCTCTCTTGTCGTGGTACATGTGGGGTCATCTTGATTCCCGTCAGCATGAGTCCATGTGCAATTCCAGGGCTACTTGTGCTTAAGAAGGATGGGACTTGGCGTATATGCGTTGATTGTCGCACTGTCAACAAAATCACTGTAAAGTATCGTCACCCTATTCCTAGATTAGATGACATGTTAGATGAACTGCATGGTTCTTGCATATTCACTAAAATTGATTTAAAGAGTGGGTATCATCAGATTAGGATGAAGGATGGTGATGAATGGAAAACAGCCTTTAAAACAAAACATGGTTTATATGAGTGGTTAGTTATGCCATGATTAACTAATGCGCCTAGTACCAAGTAAAGATCCAATGTACCTAACTTGAAGAAGAGTTACAGTAAGGTTTATCTAATGTGAGTTACGTACATTTAATTTCATAGTAATCTTTTTACTTGGATGATCATAATGATAAAAGTAAATTGTTACTTCCATCACTAATTGAGTAATGGAAGAATTGGAAGTGAATTCAATGTTATATAAATAGTGTTTCTTGCCTTTAAGAAGTTAGGAATTTTTAAACCTATAAAAGCAAATTAATGTGCTAAGTTCTATGATTTAAGTTTTAGATTCAATAAATATATTATGAGTTATAGTTCATATTCTTTACTTTCAGGTTTTAACTTTTCACTAAGTTTTTCTCTCTCTATTGTATGCATGGAATTTTTTGGGTCTTTTAGATGTTGCTACCATCATTTTACAAATCCATTTTGATTTGTTTAACCTGTACATTTATGTTGCTTCTTGATGTTATTTGTTTAGTTTTATTATATTTATAGATTGCTTTTGATGCTTTAATTTGGAAAAAAAATTTCTATATTGCTTTAGGGATGACTTTGGTAATTACATGCTTTATTGATTCTAAGTGATGATATCTTATCTCTTTTTCTTGGTTCAAATTTAATATATATTTTAAATATGTTTCACAATTTTGATTAGATGAAGTTTGAGTTGATGATGGTGGTGAGAAATCTAACAATTTAATGAATATTTGGTTGCTGAGCCAATTTACACGGCTAGTTACATGGTTAGGGAGACAAGAAAAAACAAGCTTAAAGGAAAAGGGAGGGAGGAAAAGAGGACCAAGCAAAAGAAGAAAGAGGAGGCTGATTGAAAGGGTGATGATGGGAATCAAGATGACCCCACATTTACCACATCAAGAGATCCATTACACATTCCAGGAGGTCTAGTCACGAGAGCTAGAGTTAGGAAGATGCGAGAAGCTTTAAATGGCCTTATTGAGCAGATCGGGGTTGATAACAACATGCAAGAAGTAAATCGAAGCTTGGATGATTATCAAGGCATGATAAACATCATTCAGGTTCAAGAGAAGCTTAATTGGGGTCATTTATGCTAAATTACACAGTTTGCGGCAATCTCGCAATTCTGTCGCAATTTGTAACAAACTGATATTTCATGTTACTTTAGGTTACTTTTAGTGATTTTCACGTTTTTTATATTATTTTGGGCTGAACATTCATTTATTTAAGGCCCAATTCGTGGTTATTATGATTAGGGCTTAGGGTGTTAGTTTCCTATTCTAATTAGAATTACTTTCCCCTATTTAAGGGGGCTTGTAATCGTAATTGGGGGAGCTATTGAATCTGAGTCTTTGAGAGACTTTTTTCTTTGGTTCATTTCAGAACTTTACAGAACTTATCAAGATTATTCTTGTGGCGTTTTGACCTGACTTATCATTCTCGTTCTTAATCATTTGTGGCATCAACCAACTTTATACCTCTAGTTCTTGTTGCGTCATAAACAACGGGTCAAGGTTTTTACCTTTGGTTCCTGTTGCGACACAAACAACGGGTCAAGGTCCTATTATAAACCTGATTTAGCTTTTCTGGAGTTTAGAAATCCCTTGTCGTGCTGTGGGTCTCATTGTTCTCTTTGGGATTCTCATCATCTTGGTATCAGAGCATCAAATCCCTAAATCAGGTTTTCGTATCTTTA